CTTGTGTCTTGGCTTCCCTTGTATCTTGACTTCCCTTGTTTCTTGGCTTCCCTTGTGTCTTGGCTTCCCTTGTGTCTTGGCTTCCCGTGTGTCTTGGCTTCCCTTGTGTCTTGGCTTCCCTTGTGTCTTGGCTTCCCTTGTGTCTTGGCTTCCCTTGTGTCTTGACTTCCCTTGTGTCTTGACTTCCCTTGTGTCTTGGCTTCCCTTGTGTCTTGGCTTCCCTTGTGTCTTGACTTCCCTTGTGTCTTGACTTCCCTTGTGTCTTGGCTTCCCTTGTGTCTTGACTTCCCTTGTGTCTTGGCTTCCCTTGTATCTTGACTTCCCTTGTTTCTTGGCTTCCCTTGTGTCTTGGCTTCCCTTGTGTCTTGGCTTCCCGTGTGTCTTGGCTTCCCTTGTGTCTTTGCTTCCCTTGTGTCTTGACTTCCCTTGTGTCTTGGCTTCCCTTGTGTCTTGGCTTCCCTTGTATCTTGGCTTCCCTTGTGTCTTGGAGAAGCGGTAAATATTTAAAAAAAAATAAAGTGAGTGTTTTCGAGTGCTATGCTGCAGAGGCCCAAAAAAAAAGAAGAAAAAAGGGGGGGGGGCAAACAGGGCTTGCCTGGTTGCATTTCACAATCAAAAATAATAATAGATGTAGTGTGTTTGCATGGCAAATATAAAATAACATATTTGAAATAATAGATCTTTACATAAACACTTAAACAGAGGACGTCTATACATCTTAGAGAGAGAGAGAGAGAGAGAGAGAGAGAGAGGGGGGGGGGAAAGAGAGAGAGAGAGAGGGGGGGGGGAGCTGGGCTGCAGAAATAGTTCTGGATTTGTACATTGCCAATGGTTACCAGTAAATGTGTATTTGCGTGTTAATGGTCACTCGGAAGGCGGGCTCCCTGTGACCTAGTTGTCCCTGTGGTGCCATCCTTTGCTCTCGGCTTGCCAGCAGCGCAGTCGGATCAGTGCCGTTAGAGCACTTTCGACCTCCAGCACCTGGCGACAGACAGTGGGTTGAAATATTTCTTCCGTGGCTCATTCTGAAGTCTGTTGGCAGTCCCGTACGGAAGATCTTCTCGGTATGATGCAAGTCTTTGCATGCCGCCCCTGATAGCTCTGCGCTGTCAGATCGATAGTTCAAAGTGAATTTTAATTTTGCTACTTATGTCGGCGCTCTTATGGTGCCGCCTGATGCGGCTGCATCTCTGTATCATAGCACGGCACGGCCCTGTCTGCTTGCTTCAGAATGAACAGTAGAGAGTGCACAACCAGTGTCGGCGGAGACTGGTTCTTCTTCTGCATTTGACTTTTGAAGGACAGTTGGCATGTTGTGCTTACAGCTAGGCTGCGATATCTGCGCATATCGGTCCAACACATCCGATTTCAGCAAACTCCGAACTGGTCGCTGCCTGTTATGACATGCTTGTGAGGAGGGCAGGGAGGGCTACCCCCCCCACCGCCCTCAATAGGGCCGGGAACCCACACAATAATAAACAGCAGTAAAAGCCAGTGGTAGCACACAGAGGCAATGTCGTCGACATGTTGAGAACACGGAGGGCAATCGTGCATCATTTTGCGACCGCCAACGGAGAACACCAGGGCTGGTCAACTTACTTAAAACAGTCATAGAAAAACTTCTTGGAGTACGGCAAATGAAGAGGACTGCGGACGCTATGGCATTTCAATATTGGAAAAAATCTGTTTTGTTAACAGTACCACCTGGCATAAACTGTCACACTTGGGACTATGTACAGCGTCGCAACAGCTCTGACGATCGAGCTAGAACCAGTTCTGAATTTTGTACAGACAGCAGATAAAACGATTCGCCCACTTTTTCTTCGCCTTTGTTGACCGGCTGTAAGCTGCGGCAGAAAGTCCTAGTTGTTCGTCCATTTGGACGTTGCCTTTGTGCCAGGGCCCGAGTTTTGCGTGCACATCTGTTTTACTGACTTATTTGTGTGCAGCTGGTTGTTGCTCGTTGCTTGGACGGGTGCAGTGCAATCCGACTTAGAAGGAAATTCGCCCACTGAGATAGAAGGCCATACCATACTTAGCAGACACTAACAGAGAAGAGGTATGTCGACCAAGACATAACAAAGAAGACGATGGAAAATTACCATCAGAGAAACTACAACAGCACGACATATATCTATGGTCACTGTTACCATCTCATGTATTTACCGCTCTCCTCAGTGGCACAGCTCTTCTCTGCTCTAATGTTCGCCTCTATCGATTTTGTCTTCCTGCCCCAACACCCCCCCCCCCTCATTTTCCATACGACACGCGATGACGTCTTGTTTGCCAGGATCCAGCTCAGTACTTGAGCACATATTTATATCATCGCAGTAGAAGCTGACCTTGACATCCTCTGCCCATCTTAATTCGTTAGTGAGGATTTCCTGAGGGACTATCATCCTCCGTCCTTGTCCTCCATCCTCCGTCCTCCATCCTCCATCCTCCGTCCTCCATCCTCCGTCCTCCATCCTCCATCCTCCGTCCTCCATCCTCCGTCCTCGTCTTCCATCCTCTAGGTAGTATATCGTAGCCATCTGAGCATTGAGAAAACTGGTGTAATACATGCCGTAGCGCCGAGAAATGCTGAATATAACGCAACAATGGCTTCTTTCGCAATTATTCACCCCAGTGACATCACGATGATGTCACGGGACATAAATATTTTCGAGGGTTGTAAGATAGGGCTTTCCCAGTGTGTTCCAGCTGTCTTCATGTAAGATAGGACTTTCCCAGTGTGTTTCAGCTGTCTTCATGTCAGATAGGACTTTTCCAGTGTGTTTTAGCTGTCTTCATGTAAGATAGGACTTTCCCAGTGTGTTCCAGCTGTCTTCATGTAAGATAGGACTTTCCCAGTGTGTTCCAGCTGTCTTCATGTAAGATAGGACTTTCCCAGTGTGTTCCAGCTGTCTTCATGTAAGACAGGACTTTCCCAGTGTGTTTCAGCTGTCTTCATGTAAGATAGGACTTTCCCAGTGTGTTCCAGCTGTCTTCATGTAAGATAGGACTTTTCCAGTGTGTTCCAGCTGTCTTCATGTAAGATAAGACTTTTCCAGTGTGTTTCAGCTGTCTTCATGTAAGATAGGACTTTTCCAGTGTGTTCCAGCTGTCTTCATGTAAGATAGGACTTTTCCAGTGTGTTTCAGCTGTCTTCATGTAAGATAGGACTTTTCCAGTGTGTTTCAGCTGTCTCCATGCGTTGCCAAAGTTTTGGAGCGTTGCCAAGGCTTCTTCTCTCCAGCGACTTGTGTTTGTCTCAAACGACTTATGTCTGTGGTGTCTTATCCAGCATCCTACCACCCCCCTGAGATAGTCAGCTATTGATGTCCCGTGTTTGGGGTAAATAATTGCAAAAGAACCCGAAAATTGACTACAAAGCTCAACGGTAGGATGGAAAAGACGCAGACGAACACAAGCGAACGTTTCGACCAAAGTCTTTATCAACTGGATACCGACTACAGCACAAACTGTGACCGCAACGGACAAGACAAAGTAGCTGATACTAAATACAGCACCAACTTGTCAGCCATAAAGAACATGAGAAATGCCTTGACGGAGAGGTGGGTAAAGAGTGCGCGCCTGTCCGGGATTTCCCGGCAGCACCACGGGAGCCCAGAGAAGGACGGAGTGGAAAACTGCCGAAGTGTGAAGCCGGGCGGGCAACACTTTGTCCTTGAGTGTGGGGAGACTTCCTTCCTTGGACGTTGGAAGACGCTGATCTGGCTGGGGGCAGGACCTCTTGTTTGCTGTTTGTTGACGAACCATGCCTGCGGTGGCACGCCTTGTCTACCTTGTAGTCTTTTCACTACGTAGGTTTTGTCTGTCTCTAAATGGGTGGAATGTTGGAAGGGCGCCCAGTTCTCGGCGTCTATAGGCAGGTTACTTGGTATAAATAAATACACACCAACAGATCGACAACATATCCGTGTACCAGTCTGTCTACCTACCTACTTACATCTTCCCGCCTGCCTGTATAGACGTTTACACACCTGTCTGCCTGCCTGCTTCTGTAAGCTTCTTCTCCTTCCCTAGTTACCTCACAAAAGTGGGCGCGGTGGGTGGGGGGGGGGGGGTGTAAGGGTCTGCTGTATGTTGTCTCTAATGCATTGTATAATTTGATCTCTATTGTGATTTGTTTGAGGTGGTTCTTGCTTGGTCTTCCCCCTGAACAGTGTTCCTATTTCTTCTTCTTCTTCTTCTTCTTCTTCTTCTTCTTCTTTTCTTCTTCTTCTTCTTCTTCTTCTTCTTCTTCTTCTTCTTCTTCTTCTTCTTAACGTTTACTGGCGGTAAATTCTGGTGGGAAGTTCTGGTTATTTGTCCACTTCAAGTGGCACTTGAGACTTTAGTCTTGTACTAGAACTTGAGTTTTGCATCAGTTTTGCAGATCTAGCTTATCTGTATGCAGACTGTTGGTTCCTCACCTCTCAGGAAGATGCACCTTGACTAAAGGAAACGCCCCTAATTAATCAACTTTTAGAACATGCTTGTTGGGGGAGGGAAGGAGTCGATCTGTTCTTTTTTCTTCTCCCACAGTGTGGCTTTCTGTGAGGTATTTGAGCGCATGTTCGTGAATTGATCCTAGGTATTGGATCTGTGTTGATTATAATTGTATGGAAGGAATTACATGGAAGAACTTGCCACTCAGTGAGAAGTGTTATAAACACACATTGGTGAGCATTCACACTGGGTTTGTAGCAGATGGTGTCCTCAAGGTGCGATTTTTCAGTTGAAGCTTTATTATTGGGTGATGGTTCTCCGTGTAGGTTCTGAGCTTCCATTGCTGGGAAAACAAGAATTGATCCACTGCTTCCCCAACAAGCATGTCATAAAAGGCCAGCAGACACATTGTGTTGTGGTTTACAGCTATTCTTGCTTTCCCACAAGGGAGCCCCGATGCCCACACGAGGACAACAGTTTTTTTGGGTCAGTCTGGTCTGAGCTGAGCTTTAGTTTGTTGCAATGTAACTATTGTTTCCAATGACAAATTTGTGTGTTGTTGACAGGATCGAACATCAGAGGGATGAGACTTTACAGAATCTGATGGAAGCACAGGATTCTTTGGGAGATTATCAGCGCAGGATGAAAGATAAAATGAAGAAGGTAGTGTTATATAGTGTTTTTACAACAAGATTCTGGGGTATGATACAGTATAGAAGGTAATGTTACAAGGGAAAGTTAAGATGAAGGAGGTAATGTTATAGCTTCAGGCTTCTTAGGAAAGTTAAGATGAAGAAGTTAATATTACTGGTACATGTTTCTGGTGAAAGTTAAGATGCATAAGATAATGTTATAGTTTTGGGCTTCTAGGAAAAGATATGATGAAGAGGGTAATGCTACATGTTTCTGGAGAAAGTTAAGATGAATAAGATAATATTATAGTATTATATATGTGGATTAGTACACTTGAACCATCCTTAGGTCGCCCTGAATGATGGCAAAGCTTCAGATCCAGATGGTATGTTTAAAAGCCTCTCATCGCCAGGTGTGCTGCTTGAATATTTGACACCTCAGTGACTCACAGCACCATATTGTGGATGCAACCCAGTGGGAGCAAACCTCAAATACTAAATTAAGTCTTTTACTTACTTACTTACTTAGTCGCTCCTTTTCTACTTGGGTTGTAGAGGTTTGCCAGAGAAATCGCCAGACATCTGTATCAGCAGTTTTCTTTCAGGCTTTGTTGTTCCATTTGTGTCCTGTTTTGGTTTGAGACTGTCAGATGTTGTCTTCCCAGTGGACCCTTGGTCGCTCTTAAGGTCTGGTTCCTTGGTTTTTAGCCTCCCATGCCTGCCATGGGGGATGATTTTCTCCTGCACACATGACCAAACCATCATAACTGTGACTGATCCACTCGGGTTTGTAAGACTGGGTTTCAAAATCTTGACATATTCTCTCTCTTCAGTACTTTCCTGGAGCATCTCCCAGCCAGTCTTTTAACATGATCTACATCCTGGAGCATCTCCTACCCTCAGACTTTTAACATGATCTACATCCTGGAGCATCTCCTACCCTCAGTCTTTCAACATGATCTATATCCTGGAGCATCTCCTACCTTCAGTCTTTTAACATGATCTACATCCTGGAGCATCTCCCACCCTCATTCTTTTAACATGATCTACATCGTGGAGCATTTCCCACCCTCAGTCTTTTAACATGATCTACTTCCTGGAGCATCTCCCACCCTCAGTTTTTTAACATGATCTACATAGTGGAGCATCTCCTACCCTCAGTCTTTTAACATACACAAAATAATCTACTTCCTGGAGCATCTCCCACCTTCATGTCTTTTAATATGCACATCCTGGAGCATCCACTTTTCTTTAACTTTCTAAAATGAGCTGCACACATGATAATCCATTTCTGGACTATTGTTTTGTCTCTGTCCAGTGAATTATTTACATGTGCACTGATTTTAACATGCTATATCCATCTTACCTTTACATAAATCTTTTAACATGATCTACATCGTGGAGTTTGTCTTTTAACATGATCTACTTCTTGGAGCATCTCCCAAGTTTTTAACATATCACATTGGAGTTCCTACTCTCAGTCTTTTAACATACACAAAATAATTACTTCCTGGAGCATCTCCCACCTTCATGTGTGCACACAATAAACATTTTCTTGTCAGTGATGCAGATGTGCTTCTCTGCTGGTCTGTTAAGTGTCCAAGTTTCACAGCCACTTTGTTGCCACAGAAAACTTACTTGCTTGTGTTTCTGAATCATCAGTTATTGCAGAGCCAGGATGTGAAGTTTGCATTGTATTGTTGGTATTTCACTTGACAGCACTGATCACCTCGCTGGGAATGTTGCTTCTTGTGATCACCTCGCTGGAAATGTTGCTTCTTGTGATCACCTCGCTGGGAATGTTGCTTCTTGTGATCACATCGCTGGAAATGTTGCTTCTTGTGATCACCTCGCTGGGAATGTTGCTTCTTGTGATCACCTCGCTGGGAATGTTGCTTCTTGTGATCACCTCGCTGGGAATGTTGCTTCTTGTGATCACCTCGCTGGGAATGTTGCTTCTTGTGATCACCTCGCTATAAATGTTGCTTCTTGTGATCACCTCGCTGGAAATGTTGCTTCTTGTGATCATTTCGCTGAGAATGTTCGCTTGAGATCACCTCGCTGTTAATGTTGCTTCTTGTGATCACTTCGCTGGGAATGTTGCTTCTTTTGATCACCTCGCTGGGAATGTTGCTTCTTGTGATCACCTCGCTGGGAATGTTGCTTCTTGTGATCACCTAGCTGGGAATGTTGCTTCTTGTGATCACCTCGCTGGGAATGTTGCTTCTTGTGATCACTTCGCTGGGAATGTTGCTTCTTGTGATCACTTCGCTGGGAATGTTGCTTCTTATGATCACCTCGCTGGGAATGTTGCTTCTTGTGATCACTTCGCTGAGAATGTTGCTTCTTGTGATCACCTAGCTGAGAATGTTGCTTCTTGTGATCACCTAGCTGAGAATGTTGCTTCTTGTGATCACTTCGCTGGGAATGTTGCTTCTTTTGATCACCTCGCTGAGTATGTTGCTTCTTGTGATCGCTTCGCTGGGAATGTTGCTTCATCACAGAAATATTTGGCACACAACCAAAGCTAAACTACATACAATGACAACAAATAATATGGTTTGCCCACTGACAGAGAATGCCAAATACCAAAAGAGAACATAGAACATGAAGTAGACCAAGAATTAAATGGACAGATAACATCCGAGAAACATGTACTTTTTGTCTATGATTAAGGTGGCCAGCAGTGCAAGAACCAGAATCTGATATCTTCTTCAACACCTGATCAATTAAAGAGAAAATGGAGAATAAGAAAACTTTGTTTGCACTCCTCTAAGGCTGCCTGTCTTTCATGTGTTCCACTGTGCAGGTTCATGTACAACAGTGGCTCCAACCTGGCTGCTCCAGCTCCTCCTCTTATTAATCAGATTTTGTTATGTTGATTGGGGGGCAAACAATAAAATAAAAAGGGAGAGGATGTGGGGGGCCTGGAGACTGTTGCTGAACACCAGTATTGGCATGTCGTGTCTTTCCCTTTTGACTTCCTGGGGACTTGCTGAACACCAGTATTGGTATGCATTGTCTTTCCCTTTTGACTTCCTGGAGACTGGTGCTGAACACCAGTATTGGCATGCCATGTCTTTCCCTTTTGACTTCCTGGGGACTGTTGCTGAACACCAGTATTGGTATGTCGTGTCTTTCCATTTTGACTTCCTGGAGACTTGCTGAACACCAGTATTGGTATGTCGTATCTTTCCCTTTTGACTTCCTGGAGACTTGCTGAATACCAGTATTGACATGCTGTGTCTTTCCCTTTTGACTTCCTGGGGACTGTTGCTGAACACCAGTATTGGTATGTCGTGTCTTTCCCTTTTGACTTCCTGGGGACTGTTGCTGAACACCAGTATTGATATGTCGTATCTTTCCCTTTTGACTTCCTGGGGACTTGCTGAACACCAGTATTGGTATGTCGTGTCTTTCCCTTTTGACTTCCTGGTGACTGTTGCTGAACACCAGTATTTGCATGTCGTGTCTTTCCCTTTTGACTTCCTGGAGACTTGCTGAACACCAGTATTGATATGCTGTGTCTTTCCCTTTTGACTTCCTGGGGACTGTTGCTGAACACCAGCATTGATATGCCGTGTCTTTCCCTTTTGACTCTCTGGGGACTTGCTGAACACCAGTATTGATATGCCGTGTCTTTCCCTTTTGACTCTCTGGGGACTTGCTGAACACCAGTATTGACATGCCATGTTTTTCCCTTTTGACTTCCTGGGGACTGTTGCTGAACACCAGTATTGGCATGTCGTGTCTTTCCCTTTTGACTTCCTGGGGACTTGCTGAACACCAGTATTGATATGCCGTGTCTTTCCCTTTTGACTTCCTGGGGACTTGCTGAACACCAGTACTGATATGCTGTCTTTCCCTCTTGACTCTCTGGGGACTTGCTGAACACCAGTATTGGCATGCCATGTCTTTCCCTTTTGACTTCCTGGGGACTGTTGCTGAACACCAGTATTGGCATGCCATGTCTTTCCCTTTTGACTTCCTGGGGACTTGCTGAACACCAGTATTGGTATGTCGTGTCTTTCCCTTTTGACTTCCTGGGGACTGTTGCTGAACACCAGTATTAATATGTCGTGTCTTTACCTTTTGACTTCCTGGGGACTGTTGCTGAACACCAGTATTGATATGTCGTGTCTTTCCCTTTTGACTTCCTGGGGACTGTTGCTGAACACCAGTATTGATATGTCGTGTCTTTCCCTTTTGACTTCCTGGGGACTTGCTGAACACCAGTATTAATATGTCGTGTCTTTCCCTTTTGACTTCCTGGGGACTGTTGCTGAACACCAGTATTGATATGTCGTGTCTTTCCCTTTTGACTTCCTGGGGACTTGCTAAACACCAGTATTGGTATGTCGTGTCTTTCCCTTTTGACTTCCTGGGGACTGTTGCTGAACACCAGTATTGGTATGCCATTTCTTTCCCTTTTGACTTCCTGGGGACTGTTGCTGAACACCAGTATTGGTATGCCATTTCTTTTCCTTTTGACTTCCTGGGGACTGTTGCTGAACACCAGTATTGGCATGCCATGTCTTTCCCTTATGACTTCCTGGTGACTGTTGCTGAACACCAGTATTGGCATGCCTTGTCTTTCCCTTTTGACTTCCTGGCTACTATTGATAAACACCAGTATTGGCATGCCATGTCTTTCCCTTTTGACTTCCTGGCTACTATTGATGAACACCAGTATTGGCATGCCATGTCTTTCCCTTATGACTTCCTGGCTACTATTGATGAACACTAGTATTGACATGCCATGTCTTTCCCTTTTGACTGTAAAGTTCTTCCACTTGCAGATGGAAGCTACTGAGGATGAGCTGAGGGATAGCTTGACGGCCATCACTCAGGAGCGAGGTGACCTCATGGAGCAGTTGTCTGACATGCAGACCTCCTTGGCCTCCCAGGAAGCTCAGATCAAGTGAGTGGGCGAGAGAGAGGGGGGAGGAGATGAGCTTGTGTTGTATCATCACCATCATCATTCCCTCAAACAACTGTGCTGTCAGGCTGCTTCCAATGCGGAACATTATTTGGAGAGGGTCCAAAGCCTTCCATGGCCACTTTCCAGTTGATAACCATGAAAAGTTTTGTATTAAAAAAAATTTAGTGGTACCAGGTGCAGTCCTGGGAAGTAAAGATGGCCGGTCTAACCCTATATGCCTAAGACATCTGAAGGCGTGGAAAAGGGTCCTTCACCTTTTATTATGGAAATTAAACCCTGGCACATCAAAGATTAGGAAATATGATCATAGGGCTGAAGAATTTAAGGCCGCTAGCGATGTTAGACAGGGTGATATTCTCTCACCTTACCTCTTCATTCTTATGATGAATGATGTCATCAAGATCTGTAAGTAGAAGACAAAGAAGTACTCTGTAGGGTACTGGAAGATGAGACCAATCTGTATATCAGAGCTGGCCTTTGCAGAGGATGTGGCCCTGATAGCTAAATCAGAGGCACACCTTCAGTCCAACTTACTTGTCTGGAAGGAAGAGCTTGAGAAGAAAGGGATGACCATCAGTTATCTCCAAAACTAAAACCATGGTGATTTCAAGAGAGGAGACAAAACACCAGATCATGATGGGACAGTATGCATTGGAGCAGGTCAACCAGTTCAAATACCTTGGAGTTGTATTAGACCGAAATAGAGGCATTAAGACTGAGCTGGCTGCACAAAAAGCAACTGCTGGGAGAATCTTCCAGGCCATAAACCGAGGGTTTCTTAGAAAAAAAAAGAAATAGGCAAGAGGATGAAAATGGCTATCTACCGCTATCTACCAGTCTTCACCTACGGGTGTGAGTCATGGGCAATGACAACAGCTCACAGAAGCCAGCTTAAGGCCTCAGAAATGAGATATCTGAGAAAGGTGGTTGAAGTGACAAAAAGAGACAAAGTCCACAATCAGACAATACTTTAAGATCTTGATACCCAGTCCTTACAAATCGGAGTGGATCAGTCACAGTTACCATGGTTTGAACATGTATGAAGAATAGGAGAAAATCGGCCACCATGGCAGGCATGGAAGGGCTAAGAACCAGGGAACCAGACCTCCAGGGCGAACCAGGTGCGCTGGGAAGACAACATCCGACAGTCCGAGGACTGGAATTTAACAAAGCCAGAAATAAAACTGCTAATAGAGACATCTGACGATCTCTTTGGCAAACCTCTACACCCCAAGGTAAAAGAGGAGTTACTAATTAAGTAAGTAAGATCAAAGGGCCGCACATTATCGCCATAATTGCAGGTTAAGTTCCTTGGTGCTGACATTCTGAAAACCTTTCTGGTGCACACTTTTAGAATGTGCTGCATTATCGGTGCACTTGATTATATCTATGTTATCTTTTTGTTCTGCATTCTGTCCCTCAACTAACTAACATGGAGCTCTTTTTATACATTGTTTATGATTAACAGGATTTTTCTATGAAAGTTTCTGACATTGTTCATAATTGGCTGAATTTTTCCTTGACCGTTTCTGACACTGTTCATGATTGATTGAATTTTTCAGTGAAAGGTTATGACCTTGTTTATGATTGGCTGGATATTTTCTTGAAAATTTCTGCCAGTGTTCATGAATGGCTGGATTTTTTAAATGAAAGTTTCTGACATTGTTTAATGATTGGCTAGATTATTTTATTGGAAGTTTCTGATACTATTCATGATTGGCTGGATTTTGCAATAAAAGTTTCTGACATAGTTCATGATTGGCTGGATCTTTTACTGATAGTTTCTGACACTGTTCATGATTGGCTAGATTTTTTTGACTGGTAAGGAATTTTTAGAAAAGGTGTCATAATTCTTAACTTTTAGTAATTGGATTGATGAGGTGACAGAATGAGTCACCATATGAATACATTTTTTCAGACCCAAATGACTGTAGTTGTTTAATTCTCTGCACCTTGCATGTTTACTGAATATCCCCCTTCATTATTCTCTTTAAAAAAGAAAAAAGTTAAAAATGTAAATTTGGTAGTTTCATTCCTGACTTGTGTTAGTTCATTAGTTAAAAAAAAAAATTATAAATTCCGAAATTCATGGCTTTTTCTTCAAAGTGTTTTCAAAGCGAAAAAGAGTTATAGCCCCATTCTAAATGGAGAAATGATAACAGATTCTTGTGTTTAACGAAGGGGGTCATTCTGTGAAGAATGAAACACCATAATGTCACATCTAGATAAGTGGAGACAATCTGAAACAGGTGAATGGTTTCAGGCTCTTGTGAACATCATAATGTGGGAGGAAAGATGCCTTATAGAGATGAAAGCAGGAATAGACAATGTACAGTTTGGAATATGTTTTTGTTGTTGTACAATTCCAGCCGTTTGCTCAACGACTTGGAGATGGAGGACATGAAGAAACAGGAAATTGAGCAAGAGAAGACAACACTGCAAGATCAGCTGGAGCTGTTAATGGCACAGCTCAGTAAGCTCCCCTTGTGTTTCGGAAGCTTGACTGTTTGTATGTGCAAAGCTTGACTGTTCGTGTGAAGCTTGACTGTTTGTGAAGTTTGACTGTTTGTGTGTTTGTGAAGCTTGACTGTTTGTGTGTTTGTAAAGCTTGACTGTTTGTGAAGCTTGACTGTTTGTGTGTTTGTGAAGCTTGACTGTTTGTGTGTTTGTAAAGCCTGACTGTTTGTGTGTTTGTGAAGCTTGACTGTTTGTGTGTTTGTGAAGCTTGACTGTTTGTGTGTTTGTGAAGCTTGACTGTTTGTGTGTTTGTGAAGCTTGACTTTGTGTGTTTTTGAAGCTTAACTGTGTGTTTATAAAGCTTGACTGTTTGTGTGTTTGTGACGCTTGACTGTTTGTAAAGCTTGACTGTTTTGTGTGTGTGTGAAGCTTGAGCTTGACTGTTTGTGTGTTTGTGAAGCTTGACTGTTTGTGTGTTTGTGAAGCTTGACTGTTTGTGTGTTTGTGAAGCTTGACTGTGTGTTTGTAAAGCTTGACTGTTTGTGTGTTTGTGAAGCTTGACTGTTTGTGAAGCTTGACTGTTTTGTGTGTGTGTGAAGCTTGACTGTTTGTGACTGTTTGATTTCTGTTTTTGCCTTGTGGGTTGTGGGGAAAACAAGAGTAGCCCCACTGCCTCTTCTACAAGCATGTTGTAGGGGGGGGGGGCGACTGACTGGGGGCATTCTGAGAGGCAGTGAACCAACAGTCTGCATACAAAAAAGCCAGATCAGTGCACACAACACACACTTGGAACAAGACCAAAGTTCAGAGGTGGATGAACCACCAGAACTTTTTGCCAGAGTTTACAGCCGGTGAACCCAAAGAAGAAAATTTATTTTACTGATGTTTATGTTTTGATGGGGAACGTATGATTGACCTTTATTCTCACAAATTAATCTGTTTTCACACATCCTTGTATATATGTGGGAGCTGCTGTAGTGTAGTGACGAAACTTGCCTTGCAGAGGGACCCGTAGGTCCTTTATTCCAATCTGCATTTAGCCAGTTTTTTAGATCACAATTGATCTTATGTCTGACCAGTCTAAAATTGTTAACAGATAAATTCCTGGGAAGTAATGGGATCCGGAGTGATGTTGTTTGGTCTCTAAAATATATATAGATATATATAGATAGGTCTAGCACTATGTAACCAGTATGCCTAAAAGCGTGGAAATAGATCCTTTTTCATATATGTATTTAATATGCTTTGTCTGTGGGGTTTTGTTTCATTTTCATATGTGTGTATGTGTGTGTGCAAACGCACGCTCCAACACCTGTCTGACACACTTATAAAAGGTTGTAAAATGATAGTTTTTCTCTGGAATAGTCAAGTATGAAAGCGACACAAAAGGTTTGAAAGCTGTACAGAAGGAAAAACAGCTTCTGGAGGCTGAGCTGACAGAGCATCGAACAGTGGCCCAGGAAATTGCTCAACTCCTCATGCTTGCTCAACACTGTCACAGTAAGAATGTTCTGGTAGGTACTTTTTGTTTTCCATTTTTGGGGTGACTTTGGGTGGGAACTCTGGAATATATTGAAAGCGACACGTGTTGAAAGCTCAGAAAAACAGCTTCTGGAGGCTGAGGCATCGAACAGTGGCCCCAGGAAATTGCTCAACTCCTCATGCTTGCTCAACACTGTTGTGGTGTACCTTTATTGAGACTTTGGGTGGGAACTGCTACAGCTGAAGGGTGAGGATTGTGAAGATCTTCTACAGCCGAAGTGACAGGAACCCAGGGTTCTGGTTGTAGGCTGAATACATCGTACAGTCATTGATCTCATCATCTGAAAAGCCACAAACCTGGCGTTTCTGTTATTCCTGTAATAAAAGCCTCTTTACTGCTATAGCTCCCAGAGAAGCCTAGTTAATTTAGAGGGTTTTCTTGTTGCCAGGACACTCTGATATCATAATTTGCCTTTAGCCTTAGTATTAGAGTTCTAATGAGGTCACAAGGTTACAGTGTGAGTCACACAGTAAACCTGTAGACTCCCCTGAAAATGTATTTTGTTTATTGCTTCACTGTCTGTGTCTGTTGTTGACCCCTTTAATATATTTAGACAATTTTTTTTAATGTCGATAAGTACAGTTTAAAAAAAAATGTATTTGTGACCCGTTTCAAATGGTTTTTGTAAAGGATTGTTTTCAGGAATTATCACGTTATCCTACGTTTAATTTTGTTTGTTAAAACATTCGTGGGGAGAAATTGTTAAAAACTGTTTAGATAATAACAAAGCTGTTGTAGTATCTCTTTCACATACAGCAACTCCTTTCTTTTAGGTGTGGTCAACCCAGCTCAGCTGTGTGGACTATAACATGGTGTCTTCAAGACTGCTTGAACACACATGTTATGTTATTTTATTGCAATTGATGTCACTGCACATTGGACATTCTCATGTATGCTCAAGCCCCAGATGCAGCAGCCACCCCACGTGTGTGGGGTTTGCATGAGTCTCATCACAGACAAGTATCTGACTATTTTTATTCAGTTTCTTGTATCAGAACGCACTCACCTCCCCCCCCCTCCCTTTTTTTTCCCCTTCGACTACAACCATGCATACTTACCTGTCACAGCATTTGACCTGAGTTTATGCTGTACATCCATGGGCTCTATGATTGTCTTAGGCTGACACTTTACTCCTCTTCTCTCCCTTACTGTCCTTCCCTTCCCCCCTTCCCCTGTACTCCTCTTCTCTCCCTTTCTGTCCTTCCCTTTCTCTTCCTCTCTTCCCTTGTTTTTTTAACCAATACATCTCAGGGAATACACAGCCTCATAAAAATAGCCCCCAGATCACTTTCTGTGAAGAAAGATGCAGAGGAGGGGAACTGGCTACCCTCATCTCATGTGTAGTACAAGTCAAGGCCCCTTTTTATGCCAAATGTTGAAAATAATCTGCTTGGAAAAGGATTTGGACCCTAGACTTTTGGACTGGCAGATGATGGTCAGGCCACTGTGCCACTGCGGCTGCCACCTCATGTGTAGTATCACAGACTAGATCACTGCACAGTTTCTGCTGTAGGAGTACTATGACCAACGATATATTAGTGTGACATGGCATGTGGCTGACGCTTGTGTCCTGACTTGTGTGCCTTTGAGCAGGAAGACAGTGGCAATTACAGCATCCACAACCTCAAGGGCGATGGTGGCGGGTGGTCTGCAGGTGGTGATGCTGCAGGTGTGGCCGACCTCAACACAAACAACAATGGCAGCATGGAGCTCAACACAAACAACAATGGACTTGGATGTGAGGGTGGGACGACCATGATGGGAGAGCTCAGGTGAGTGGTCTGATATTTGTATTCGGATGTAGAGCCTAGGTAAATGGTCTAGTTAGTATACCCTGCTGTAGAGTTCAGGTGAATGGTCTAAGTTAGTGTACTCTGATGTAGAGTTCAGGTGAATGGTCTAAGTTAGTGTACTCTGATGTAGAGTTCAAGTGAATGGTCTAAGTTAGTGTACCCTGATGTAGAGTTCAGGTGAATGGTCTAGTTAGTGTACCCTGATGTAGAGTTCAGGTGAATGGTCTAGCTAGCGTACCCTGATGTAGAGTTCAGGTGAATGGTCTAAGTTAGCGTACCCTGATGTAGAGTTCAAGTGAATGGTCTAGTTAGCGTACCCTGATGTAGAGTTCAGGTGAGTGGTCTAGTTAGTGTCCCCTGATGTAGAGTTCAGGTGAATGGTCTAAGTTAGTGTACCCTGATGTAGAGTTCAGGTGAATGGTCTAAGTTAGTGTACCCTCATGTAGAGTTCAGGTGAATGGTCTAGTTAGTGTACCCTGATGTAGAGTTCAGATGAATGGTCTAGTTAGCGTACCCTGATGTAGAGTTCAGGTGAATGGTCTAAGTTAGTGTACCCTGATGTAGATTCCAGGTCAGTTGTTAGGTTAGTGTACTCTGATGTAGAGCTCAAGTGAGTGCTCTGGTTAGTGTACTCTTATGTAGAGGCCAGGTGAGTGGTCTGTTTAGTGTACCCTGAAATAGAGCCTAGGTGAGGGGTCTAGTACAGTTCTTAGTTCTCCAGCTAAAGTATTGTGTATTGCCCAGACAAGCGGTTCTCAAACTTTTTTTCGGCGCGGCATCCTTGTCAGGCACAAACATTTTTTTTCAGCATGCCTGCAGGTAGAATACTTAAGAAAAGAAGAAACAGCAGTGAACATTTAATGTTCTTTTGTCTTTAATGTGGTGAATGAAACCGTTTGTATGAATGTTTTAATATTTCCTTTGTGTTTGTGGGAAGTTTAGCTAATTTTACCCTCAAATCGCTTGGCCCAGAAAGTTTGCTCCTGTGTATGTTTTTTATGTTAGCGTACGTTGAGAATACCAATAGCATTGTCTTCTGAATACATCTGCATTCAGAACTCTTCTTAGCTTCCTTTGCAGTATTTCGTTTTTTTTATTAAATGCTGTTTTCGCTGATCTCTAACATATAGAAACATTCTTGATTATTGCCGCAGCACCACTGACTCCCAGTTTGAAAACTGCTGTTCTAGATGAACCTCTTCGCTTCCCTAAAATAGCTCAGATGTCCCAGCATATCTCTTACTTCTCCCAGCTTAGCTCAGATGGTCCTAGTACTCTTGAAGACTGGTCTTGAACTCAAGATGTTTACATGCGGCTGCAACATGTCTTTCTTTTCCCAAATGATAGCTTACATTGTTTATTTGCTGATAACAGTTATTTAGCCACACTGTTGATATTTGTGATGCCACTCTTCTGGAGCTAATAATGCTTGTGTATTGGACTCCCTGTAGAAACCTGTTTACAAACATGGACGGAGAGATCCAGCGGCTGCGCTACGACCTGAAACAGAGGGATGCCGATGACCGAACCTATCAGAACCTGCACGATGAACTCAGGGTACTCATGGACAAAGTGGAATCAGGTCAGCCCTGCCGTCCACTCATTTTTCCTGTTGTCTTTTTATGTTCATTATTATCCTGTATGCCTTTTGATCAGGTGTTGTTTCCTACCCTTGTCTCATCACGCTTTTCTCTGCTGTTAGAATTGTCTGCTCTGTCTTGTTAATTCCACTAAAAATTGTTTTATTATTATTACAAGTCAGTTGACAGATGGAATTAGGTTAGTTCTATCACTGCTCAAAAGAAATGTTATCCTTGAAGGATAATCCTTTCAATCCATCAGTCGTGAATCCTTAAATCATTATCATAGCTAAACATCCTGTCAGCTTATTTGTCCCTTTACATTCATTGTCCTGTCAGTCCATCTGTTCCCTTACAGTTATTGTACCATCAGTCTCCTTACACTTATTGTCCCATCAGTCCATCTGTCCCCTTACAATTGTTGTCCCATCAGTCCATCTGTCCCATTACAATTATTGTCCCAACAGTTCATCTGTCCCCTTACACTTACTTTCCCATCAGTCCATCTGTCCCATTACAATTATTGTCCCATCAGTCCATTTGTTCCCTTACACTTACCGTCCCATCAGTCCATCTGTCCCATTACAATTATTGTCCCATCAGTCCATCTGTCCCCTAATATTTATTGTCACATCAGTCCATCTGTCCCATAACACTTATTGTCCCATCAGTCCATCTGTCCCATTACAATTATTGTCCCATCAGTCCATTTGTCCCCTTACACTTATCGTCCATCTGTCCCCTTACAGTCATTGTCCTATCAGCCCATACATGCCCTATCCCTGTCTTCTGTAGACAACAAACTCTTGTCTTCTGTAGACAACAAACTCTTGTCTTCTGTAGACAACAAACACTGGACAGTCCCACACATGCTCTATCCCTGTCTTCTGTAGACAACAAACTCTGGACACTCCGAAACGTTCTCTGTCCCTGTCTTCTGTAGACAACAAACTCTGGACAATCCCACACATGCTCTATCCCTGTCTTCAGTAGACAAACTCTGGACAGTCCCACACGTTCTCTGTCCCTGTCTTCTGTAGACAACAAACTCTGGACAGTCCCACACATGCTCTATCCCTGTCTTCTGTAGACAACAAACTCTGGACAGTCCCACACATGCTCTGTCCCTGTCTTCTGTAGACAACAACCTCTGGACAGTCCCACACATGCTCTGTCCCTGTCTTCTGTAGACAACAAACTCTGGACAATCCCACACATGCTCTATCCCTGTCTTCTGTAGACAACAAACTCTATAAGTCCCACACATGCTCTGTCCCTGTCTTCTGTAGACAACAACCTCTGGACAGTCCCACACATGCTCTGTCCCTGTCTTCTGTAGACAACAAACTCTGGACAATCCCACACATGCTCTATCCCTGTCTTCAGTAGACATACTCTGGACAGTCCCACACATGCTCTATCCCTGTCTTCTGTAGACAACAAACTCTGGACAGTCCCACACATTCTCTATCCCTGTCTTCTGTAGACAACAAATTCTGGACACTCCCACACGTTCTCTGTCCCTGTCTTCTGTAGACAACAAACTCTGGACAATCCCACACATGCTCTATTCCTGTCTTCAGTAGACAAACTCTGGACAGTCCCACACGTTCTCTGTCCCTGTCTTCTGTAGACAACAAACTCTGGACAGTCCCACACATTCTCTGTCCCTGTCTTCTGTAGACAACAAACTCTGGACAGTCCCACACATTCTCTGTCCCTGTCTTCTGTAGACAACAAACTCTGGACAGTCCCACACATTCTCTGTCCCTGTCTTCTGTAGACAACAAACTCTGGACAATCCCACACATGCTCTATTCCTGTCTTCTGTAGACAAACTCTGGACAGTCCCACACGTTCTCTGTCCCTGTCTTCTGTAGACAACAAACTCTGGACAGTCCCACACATTCTCTGTCCCTGTCTTCTGTAGACAACAAACTCTGGACAGTCCCACACATTCTCTGTACCTGTCTTCTGTAGACAACAAACTCTGGACAGTCCCACACATTCTCTGTCCCTGTCTTCTGTAGACAACAAACTCTGGACAGTCCCACACATTCTCTGTCCCTGTCTTCTGTAGACAACAAACTCTGGACAGTCCAACACATTCTTTGTCCCTGTCTTCTGTAGACAACAAACTCTGGACAGTCCCACACATTCTCTGTCCCTGTCTTCTGTAGACAACAAACTCTGGACAGTCCCACACATTCTCTCTCCGTCTTCAGTAGACAAACTCTGGACAGTCCCACACATTCTCTGACCCTGTCTTCAGTTGATGAACTCTGGACAGTCCCACACATGCTCTGACCCTGTCTTTAGTAGACAACAAACTCTGGAGTCCCACACATTCTCTCTTCCTGTCTTTGGTAGACAAACTCTGGACAGTCCCACACATTCTCTCTCCCTGTCTTCTGTAGACAGACTCTGGACAGTCCCACACATTCTTTGTTCCTGTCTTTAGTAGCCAACAAAGATTTCACTAATTGATGGTGTCAAGTAACAGCATGATTAAAAGTATGCCTCTCTTGTTCCTGCATTTGAGTGTTGTCCAGACCTTCTGGCAGATAATGTTTGTGTAGAACATCATCACAGTGATACTGAAGGATTCTGTCCAATGGTTTCTCCACTGTTGTCTGCAGGTGTACCTGCTAACTGTTTCTCCACTGTTGTCTGCAGGTATACCTGCTAACTGTTTCTCCACTGTTGTCTGCAGGTGTACCTGCTAACTGTTTCTCCACTGTTGTCTGCAGGTGTACCTGCTAACTGTTTCTCCACTGTTGTCTGCAGGTGTACCTGCTAACTGTTTCTCCACTGTTGTCTGCAGGTGTACCTGCTAACTGTTTCTCCACTGTTGTCTGCAGGTGTACATGCTGTTTCTCCACTGTTGTCTGCAGGTGTACGTGCTAACCAAGAACTGGAGTGCCTGGTCAGTAGCCTGGAGGAAGACAAGAGGAACCTTCTCATCAAACTGGACGAGTGTCACCAGACCATCGCTGAGAGGGAGCGACAGATTCAGTGCATGGACACACGACTGAATGAACGCAACCACCAGGTCATCTGTCTACAGGAAGACAACAACGACAAGGCCCAGACCATCTGTCAGTTGGGAAAACAGTTAGACGTAAGCTGCTATCAGCTAGTAGATAAACAAGTAGATGTAAACTGCTGTTATCAGCAAGTAGATGAACAAGTAGATGTAAGCTGCTGTTATCAGCAAGTAGATGAACAAGTAGATGTAAGCTGCTGTTATCAGCAAGTAGATGAACAAGTAGATGTAAGCTGCTGTTATCAGCAAGTAGATGAACAAGTAGATGTAAGCTGCTGTTATCAGCAAGTAGATGAACAAGTAGATGTAAGCTGCTGTTATCAGCAAGTAGATGAACAAGTAGATGTAAGCTGCTGTTATCAGCAAGTAGATAAACAAGTAGATGTAAGCTGCTGTTATCAGCAAGTAGATAAACAAGTAGATGTAAGCTGCTGTTGTCAGCAAGTAGATGAACAGGTAGATGTAAGCTGCTGTTATCAGTAAGTAGATGAACAAGTAGATGTAAGCTGCATTTCTTTGGCACTTTGGTTTAGTGCAGAGACATTTTAGTTACATTGTTCTCAGGTTTTCTCAACGTGTCCTGTCCAACACCAGCGTCTTTTCTTCACATCTTGGCTCACTGGAACTTATTTTATTCTCTCCCAAAGCTCAACTTGAGTGATTCTGTAATACCATTTAATTGCCTATATTCTGTGCAGGCGCCAGTTAATTAATATTTGAAGTTTTTTTAATAGTTGTTTTAATTGTTCTCCATCTTTCCAGTCTGTACAGCAGTACTGATTTCACATTAAGTTAGTTGCATATCCTTTATAGGACGTTGCAGAACCAACCCCCACATATTTTTGGCTGTTGTAGTTTTTCTAGGCACATTTTATGCTCAGTAGTTTGCCATTGCTTTCTGAGTGGTCAGCTTTTGGTACCGCTGTCGAAATTATCGCAAGACAAACTGTCTGCAGCTGTCATGGAACCCGGCACCCCGGCATTATGAAGCGCATTCACAACACCTAAACCACAGACGCCGACGATTTCACATTAGAATGAACAATTTTAAGTTTAGTATTAGTGTGAATTTTATTTCACCACAAATTTCCAAGTGCTATCAAAGCTCCTCTTGCATTTTGTTTTTATATTTGGTGTTTTCTCAATGTCTCCCCTCAGGATGACGTGATAAACAGTCCAAAATTTTCATGATGTTTTTAACTACCTCAAAACATCTAGAACTGGGCCTTATTCCAACCCACCTATGTCAAACAAGAGAATGTAGCCTAGGTCTCACGACTGCAGGCAACCTAGGTCCCACAACTGCATGCAGCCTAGGTCCCACAAATGCATGCAGCCTAGGTCCCATGACTGCATGCAGCCTAGGTCCCATGACTGCATGCAGCCTAGGTCCCACAACTGCATGCAACCTAGGTCTCACCACTGCAGGCAACCTAGGTCCCACAACTGCATGCAACCTAGGTCTCATGACTGCATGCAGCCTAGGTCCCAGGACTGCATGCAGCCTAGGTCCCACAACTGCAGGCAGCCTAGGTCCCACAACTGCATGCAACCTAGGTCTCACGACTGCAGGCAACCTAGGTCCCACAACTGCATGCAACCTAGGTCCCACGACTGTGTGCAGCCTAGATCCCACAACTGCATGCAACCTAGGTCTCACCACTGCAGGCAACCTAGGTCCCACAACTGCATGCAACCTAGGTCCCATGACTGCATGCAGCCTAGGTCCCACGACTGCATGCAGCCTAGGTCCCACAACTGCAGGCAGCCTAGGTCCCACAACTGCATGCAACCTAGGTCTCACGTCTGCAGGCAACCTAGGTCCCACAACTGCATGCAACCTAGGTCTCACGACTGCAGGCAACCTAGGTCCCACAACTGCATGCAACCTAGGTCCCACGACTGTGTGCAGCCTAGATCCCACGACTGCATGCAACCTAGGTCTCACGACTGCAGGCAACCTAGGTCCCACGACTGTATGCAACCTAGGTCCCATGACTGCATGCAGCCTAGGTCCCACGACTGCATGCAGCCTAGGTCCCACGACTGCATGCAGCCTAGATCCCACGACTGCATGCAGCCTAGATCCCACGACTGCATGCAGCCTAGGTCCCATGACTGCATGCAGCCTAGGTCCCATGACTGCATGCAGCCTAGGTCCCACAACTGCAGGCAACCTAGGTCCCACAACTGCATGCAACCTAGGTTCAATGACTGCATGCAGCCTAGGTCCCATGAATGCATGCAGCCTAGGTCCCATGACTGCATGCAGCCTAGGTCCTACAACTGCATGCAGCCTAGGTCCCATGACTGCATGCAACCTAGGTTCCATGACTGCATGCAGCCTAGGTCCCACAACTGCATGCAGCCTAGGTCTCATGACTGCATGCAGCCTAGGTCCCATGACTGCATGTAGCCTAGGTCCCACAACTGCATGCAGCCTAGGTCCTACAACTGCATGCAACCTAGGTCCTACAACTGCATGCAACCTAGGTCCCACAACAGCAGGCAGCCTAGGTCCCACGACTGCATGCAACCTAGGTCCCATGACTGCATGCAACCTAGGTTCCATGACTGCATGCAGCCTAGGTCCCACAACTGCATGCAGCCTAGGTCTCATGACTGCATGCAGCCTAGGTCCCATGACTGCATGCAGCCTAGGTCCCACAACTGCATGCAGCCTAGGTCCCATGACTGCATGCAGCCTAGGTCCCACAACTGCATGCAGCCTAGGTCCTACAACTGCATGCAACCTAGGTCCCACAACTGTAGGCAGCCTAGGTCCCACAACTGCATGCAACCTAGGTCCCATGACTGCATGCAACCTAAGTCCCATGACTGCATGCAACCTAGGTCCCATGACTGCATGCAACCTAGGTCCCACAACTGCATGCAGCCCATCTACCACCCCCTAAAATATTGGACTGTCTGTGGGGGAGGAGGGTGGGATATTGGGAAAGAACCAATATCTATATCAGTTCACCCATCTTTACCTACATTACTGCCCAAATAAGTGTATGAATCCACGTCATGGAGTGGGATACAGAAGAAAATCAGATTACTATTTACCTGGTTTATTCTCACGACCAGATTACTTATTGCCTAATTTATTCTCATTATCATTATTTTTTCCCCAATAGATTGTGAGACCTAGTTGTGATAGCGCTCCAAGTATATTTAGTTAATCTTGCATCTGATTCTGTGAATGGGAATATGCAAATTTAATGACGGAGGTTACACAACAAGACTGCTAGTCACCAGACATACTGAAATAATGTAATCCTGCTGCCTCTATGGTTGTTAAACACAGGACTACAATGTCTTTAAACTAGTGACCAGACAGCCACTACTGTTATTGTTGTCTTGTGTTTTTCAGTGTAACGAACAGAGGCTCCAGATGTCTGAATCAGGCCAGAACCAGTGTGCCGAGCATGTAGCAGCTCTGGAAGCTCGCATCAAAGAGCTGGAGGATCTCCTCTGCCAGAAGGAACAAACTGTCCAGGAGCTCAGTGTAATGTCTTCAGTGTTCACTCGTAGACATGGATTTATGGCTCTACTTTCAGTTACCTTTGACTGTAGCTGTAATGTCTCCAGTGTTCACTCGTAGACATGGATTTATTGCTCTACTTTCAGTTACCTTTGACTGTAGCTGTAATGTCTTCAGTGTTCACTCGTAGACATGGATTTATGGCTCTACTTTCAGTTACCTTTGACTGTAGCTGTAATGTCTTCAGTGTTCACTCGTAGACATGGATTTATGGCTCTACTTTCAGTTACCATTGACTGTAGCTGTAATGTCTCCAGTGTTCACTCGTAGACATGGATTTATGGCTCTACTTTCAGTTAACTTTGACTGTAGCTGTAATGTCTCCAGTGTTCACTCGTAGACATGGATTTATTGCTCTACTTTCAGTTAACTTTGACTGTAGCCGACTGTGAAATGATGTGGTTTTAACCTTGATTCAAATGTTATCATTGTTCAGCATTTCCTTTCTTTCATTGTTTGAACCTGTGACTTCATCTGTTGTGTTTAAAAGTGATTTCATCTGTCTGCTGTTGTGGAGATGTTTGTTGAGTATACATCTCTATGAAAGTTATTTTCCCTGTGGGTTCCAGGACCCCATGTGATGTAATACCACCCCCCCCCCCCACCCACCTGTGAAAGGGGGCTATGACAGGCTAGCAGGTTGAGGTAACGTCTCTCTGATATGCAGAGTGGAGCCCTGTGTTCAGGGGTGCTATGATAGGGTAGCAGGTTGAGGTAACATCTCTCTGATATACAGAGTGGAGCCCTGTGTTCAAGGGTGCTATGACAGGGTAGCAGGTTGAGGTAACATCTCTCTGATATGCAGAGTGGAGCCCTGTGTTCAAGGGTGCTATGACAGGCTAGCAGGTTGAGGTAACATCTCTCTGATATGCAGAGTGGAGCCCTGTGTTCAAGGGTGCTATGACAGGGTAGCAGGTTGAGGTAACATCTCTCTGATATGCAGAGTGGAGCCCTGAAAACAGCGCCGATGCATTTCACTATTCAGACTCACCGATGTGACTTCAACTTAGAATTTAAAGCCATCACTCAGGTGACAGAGTCCTTAAGTCTCTTGAAAACAGTTTTATTCTTCTGTTAGGCTGCCAATCATCTAAGGGAGACACACAGCTTTATCTAATCTTTTTTTATTGAGTTGCAGCCCTTGTCAGTAACTCCTCTTTCTCCTGTAAAGACACATGTCTCAGAGCTTCAGCCGGCCAGTCATATGGATTGTTCATGTCTGTTATCCATCTCCTGTAGTCACACATGTCTCAGAGCTTCAGCCAGTCATATGGATTGTTCATGTCTGTTATCCACTCCTGTAGTGACACATGTCTCAGAGCTTCAGCCAGTCATATGGATTGTTCATGTCTGTTATCCATCTCCTGTAGTCACACATGTCTCAGAGCTTCAGCCGGCCAGTCATATGGATTGTTCATGTCTGTTATCCATCTCTTGTAGTCACACATGTCTCAGAGCTTCAGCCAGTCATATGGATTGTTCATGTCTGTTATCCATCTCCTGTAGTCACACATGTCTCAGAGCTTCAGCCGGCCAGTCATATGGATTGTTCATGTCTGTTATCCATCTTCTGTAGTCACACATGTCTCAAAACTTCAGCCGGCCAGTCATATGGATTGTTGATGTCTGTTATCCATCTCCTGTAGTCAGACATGTCTCAAAGCTTCAGCCGGCCAGTCATATGGATTGTTGATGTCTGTTATCCATCTCCTGTAGTCAGACATGTCTCAAAGCTTCAGCCGGCCAGTCATATGGATTGTTGATGTCTGTTATCCATCTCCTGTAGTCAGACATGTCTCAAAGCTTCAGCCGGCCAGTCATATGGATTGTTGATGTCTGTTATCCATCTCCTGTAGTCAGACATGTCTCAAAGCTTCAGCCGGCCAGTCATATGGATTGTTGATGTCTGTTATCCATCTCCTGTAGTCAGACATGTCTCAAAGCTTCAGCCGGCCAGTCATATGGATTGTTGATGTCTGTTATCCATCTCCTGTAGTCAGACATGTCTCAAAGCTTCAGCCGGCCAGTCATATGGATTGTTGATGTCTGTTATCCATCTCCTGTAGTCAGACATGTCTCAAAGCTTCAGCCGGCCAGTCATATGGATTGTTGATGTCTGTTATCCATCTCCTGTAGTCAGACATGTCTCAAAGCTTCAGCCGGCCAGTCATATGGATTGTTGATGTCTGTTATCCATCTCCTGTAGTCAGACATGTCTCAAAGCTTCAGCCGGCCAGTCATATGGATTGTTAATGTCTGTTATCCATCTCCTGTAGTCAGACATGTCTCAAAGCTTCAGCCGGCCAGTCATATGGATTGTTGATGTCTGTTATCCATCTCCTGTAGTCAGACATGTCTCAAAGCTTCAGCCGGCCAGTCATATGGATTGTTGATGTCTGTTATCCATCTCCTGTAGTCAGACATGTCTCAAAGCTTCAGCCGGCCAGTCATATGGATTGTTGATGTCTGTTATCCATCTCCTGTAGTCAGACATGTCTCAAAGCTTCAGCCGGCCAGTCATATGGATTGTTCATGAAGTGACTTCTGTTAAGTGATTTTGTGTATCCTAGTTTGCACTTGTAACATTGTCGGTTGTTGTCATGTGCTGATACAGGTTGTGTTACCACAACATTCACTTGTGGATCCTAATTGTAATGATGTGAGCCGGACTAGTTCTACTTCCTGTATGGTTTGGTATCTTTTCTTAGTTATTGGTACCAGAGGGCATATTAGGGGTTTGCTGAAATATGAGGTGTTGGACCAACAGATATCACAGCCTAGATGTAAACCACAACACAGCATACCAACCACACTTTTAAGAGCAAATACAGAGGGAGAAAAAAACAAGATTGAGATTAGACTGATGAAGTTATCAGACGAACGTTCACAGTGGCCAGTACCTTGTCCATGGTGTTATCTACCTATACCCTTGCTGCCAGGCCAGCCAACATTCTCAGGTTTGCCCTGTCACTCTGAAGATGTGATATTCCACGACCCCATCTTTCATATCCTGCTGCTTTCTATGCTTGATGAGGAAGAGACCTGTGTGATGTTCCACGACCCCATCTTTCATATCCTGCTGCTTTCTATGCTTGATGAGGAAGAGACCTATGTGATGTTCCACGACCCCATCTTTCATATCCTGCTGCTTTCTATGCTTGATGAGGAAGAGACCTGTGTGATGTTCCACGACCCCATCTTTCATATCCTGCTGCTTTCTATGCTTGATGAGGAAGAGACCTATGTGATGTTCCACGACCCCATCTTTCATATCCTGCTGCTTTCTATGCTTGATGAGGAAGAGACCTATGTGATGTTCCACGACCCCATCTTTCATATCCTGCTGCTTTCTATGCTTGATGAGGAAGAGACCTGTGTGATGTTCCACGACCCCATCTTTCATATCCTGCTGCTTTCTATGCTTGATGAGGAAGAGACCTATGTGATGTTCCACGACCCCATCTTTCATATCCTGCTGCTTTCTATGCTTGATGAGGAAGAGACCTATGTGATGTTCCACGACCCCATCTTTCATATCCTGCTGCTTTCTATGCTTGATGAGGAAGAGACCTGTGCAGCTTCCTTGGAGATGGAACTTTCTTCTGTATTTGAATTTAGTTTTGACTACAAGCTCCTTATCTTTAAGTCCCTGTCAGGGTTAAGAGCTAAAACTCCATGAGCATTGACAGTTAAAATTGAGCTTTCCTGCGGAGTCACAGTTAGCCAGCTATCAGCCGCAACAAGAGGGGTCTGCCACCCTTCTCACTGCCACCCTTCTCACTGCCACCCTTCTTACTGCCACCCTTTTCACTGCCAGCCTTCTCACTGCCACCCTTCTCACTGCCACCCTTCTCACTGCCACCCTTCTCACTGCCACCCTTCTCACTGCCACCCTTGTCACTTCCACCCTTCTCACTACCACCCTTGTCACTACCACCCTTCTCACTGCCACCCTTCTCACTGCCACCCTTCTCACTGCCACCCTTGTCACTTCCACCCTTCTCACTACCACCCTTGTCACTGCCACCCTTGTCACTGCCACCCTTCTCACTGCCACCCTTGTCACTTCCACCCTTCTCACTGCCACCCTTGTCACTTCCACCCTTCTCACTGCCACCCTTCTCACTACCACCCTTGTCACTGCCACCCTTGTCACTGCCACCCTTGTCACTGCCACCCTTGTCACTGCCACCCTTGTCACTGCCACCCTTCTCACTGCTACCCTTCTCACTGCCACCCTTCTCACTGCCACCCTTGTCACTGCCACCCTTCTCACTGCCACCCTTTTCACTGCCGCCCTTCTCATTGTCACCCTTCCCACTGCCACCCTTGTCACTGCCACCCTTCTCACTGCCACCCTTCTCACTGCCACCCTTGTCACTGCCACCCTTGTCACTGCCACCCTTGTCACTGCCACCCTTCTCACTGCCACCCTTCTCACTGCCACCCTTCTCACTGCCACCCTTGTCACTGCCACCCTTCTCACTGCCGCCCTTCTCACTGTCGCCCTTCTCACTGTCGCCCTTGTCACTGCCGCCCTTCTCACTGCCGCCCTTCTCACTGCCACCCTTCTCACTGTCACCCTTCTCACTGTCACCCTTCTCACTGTCACCCTTCTCACTGTCACCCTTTTCACTGCCACCCTTTTCACTGCCACCCTTCTCACTGCCACCCTTGTCACTGCCACCCTTGTCACTACCACCCTTCTCACTGCCACCCTTGTCACTGTCACCCTTCTCACTGTCACCCTTGTCACTACCACCCTTCTCACTGCCACCCTTGTCACTACCACCCTTCTCACTGCCGCCCTTCTCACTGTCACCTTTGTCACTGCCACCCTTCTCACTGTCACCCTTCTCACTGTCACCCTTCTCACTGTCACCCTTGTCACTACCACCCTTCTCACTGCCACCCTTTTCACTGCCAGCCTTCTCACTGCCACCCTTCTCACTGCCACCCTTCTCACTGTCACCCTTCTCACTGCCACCCTTCTCACTACCACCCTTCTCACTGCCACCCTTCTTACTGCCACCCTTGTCACTGCCACCCTTGTCACTGCCACCCTTCTCACTGCCGCCCTTCTCACTGCCGCCCTTCTCACTGCCGCCCTTGTCACTGCCGCCCTTCTCACTGCCACCCTTCTTACTGCCACCCTTCTCACTGCCACCCTTCTCCCTGCCACCTTTCTCACTGCCGCCCTTCTCACTGCCGCCCTTCTCACTGCCGCCCTTCTCACTGCCACTTCTTTCTTGACAGTTTTAGCTGACTGTTACTGTAATGACGTTAAACTTGCCACCCCCGCCCAAGTATCTGTTGAGAAAGCAATGATGTCAGCTGATTACCTGTTTGCTATTTCACTGGTAAATCTTTTGGGGGTCTGCATGAGCAAGTGGTCGAGTCATTTGGTTTCTGGCCTGAAGATCATGGGCTTATTTTACAAATGCTTTGTTCAGTTCACAAGTGCATTTTTTAAGGAGATCTCTAGGGATTGTCCCAGGAGCTACAGAGTGTATGCTTTGTGTGACATTTGGAAGGCAGCTAGCCATTCTGTGGAGGGAGACTGAGCCATGTGAGAAAACACCGATGCAGTGAAGCTGATTCTCTCATTAACTTAAACTTTGTGAATTGTGTCCTTGCAGGAACAAATTGTCAAGATCAACAAAGAGTTCCGGTGCATGCAGCAGAAGTACGAGAAGAAGGTGGACTGCCTCAATCAGCAGATCTACGAGTATCAGAAGCAGATAGAACAGGTGGGCTTCATAGTTGTGACAACAGAAGTAGCACTGTTGATGAATACACAGCCTTAGTGATGACATTAATATGTCCTTACCCACATATGTGACCCAGAGCTGGTGTAACTGTTACCCTTGTTTTAATTGTAACTTCTGTGGAGGTTGAAGGGGATATCTGGGACCCATCTTGTTGGTTTGCCATCTGGAGGGGACGAATCAGTCAGTTAATCAAGGACGTTAACAAACATAAAGTTGTCCTGTATAGTTGAACCTCCAATAACTAGCACCACTAATGTCTTGATGAGCGCAGTTGCTAGCTCTAGTCCAGCAAGGTCCATATCCAAAAAAAACAAGAGTGTAATTTTCTGTAATTCCTCTTGTCATCTTCTATATTGAGTCTCCAGTTGCAGCATAGCCACTCAAACCACCGTGGAGATGTGTTCACAATTAGATGTTGCAGCTAGTTTTCTACAACCAGGGCATCAGTCTTTCTTTGCCACCTCTGTAGACATGCATGGTCTTGTATTTGTCTGCTCCAGTAACCCAGGCATCTCATCTGCTGTCATACATGACTGCTGATGGCTGTAGTCAGGGTTCTGACATTCCTTGTGACACCACCACTTTGGACTAGGTTACAGTTGATCAGGCTACACACAGCTGCTAGAGGCAAGAGACAACTCTCAACATTGAAAAGAAGTACTCTAAACATTGTCTGGTACCCATGTGTATGCGGCTGGATCAGGCCACGTCTGCATTGATCTAACAACACCGGCCCCTGGTGTGAATTGAAGCCAGCTCACAGCTGCATTGATCTAACAACACAGGCCCCTGGTGTGAATTGAAGCCAGCCCACAGCTGCATTGATCTAACAACACCGGCCCCTGGTGTGGATTGAAGCCAGCCCGCAGCTGCATTGATCTAACAACACCGGCCCCTGGTGTGAATTGAAGCCAGCCCACAGCTGCATTGATCATAACACCAGCCCCTGGTGTGAATTGAAGCCAGCCCACAGCTGCATTGATCTAACAACACCGGCCCCTGGTGTGGATTGAAGCCAGCCCGCAGCTGCATTGATCTAACAACACCGGCCCCTGGTGTGAATTGAAGCCAGCCCACAGCTGCATTGATCATAACACCAGCCCCTGGTGTGAATTGAAGCCAGCTCACAGCTGCATTGATCATAACACCGGCCCCTGGTGTGGATTGAAGCCAGCCCACAGCTGCATTGATCTAACAACACAGGCCCCTTGTGTGAATTGAAGCCAGCTCATAGCTGCATTGATCATAACACCAGCCCCTGGTGTGAATTGAAGCCAGCTCACAGCTGCATTGATCATAACACCGGCCCCTGGTGTGGATTGAAGCCAGCCTACAGCTGAAATTGTCCTGTTTTAAAGTCAGTATGCTGATTGGAAACTGTCCAGTTTGGATGTCAACTTGTTGATATGAATGGGAAATGTCCAGTTTTGATGTTAACTTGTTGATATGAAGTAGAAACTATCCAGTTCTAATGTCAGCTTGTTGATATAATTGAAACATTGGATCTGTTTTAGCTAACATCGGACAATGATGCACTGAATCACAAACTGACTGTCTGTGTGAAAGCAGCCGAGGACTGTAAGCGCATGCTGCACAGCCAGGAGGATCTGAACCAGAACTTGGAGAACCAGGTGGATGAGCTCAAAACGGTCAGTGATCACATGGTCCATTGCATTTCCTAATGTCCCCAGAACTATTGATGATTGAAACTAAATGTGAATCGACTCGTGTGTATGTGCTGCTAAACTGCCTTTAACTTAAGCTCATTGTTGGGAGTAAATCTTGATTCATAACTGGTAAAAGTTTATTTGAAGTTCATTTCTGTAGATCAGAGGAGAGCATTTTGTCATTGTCTTGTTTGTAAAATGTTACTCGGTCCATTCTGTGGATCAAAACTAGGAACAGCTAGAGCTAGAGATGGTCATTTGTATCTCTGAGTTTCTCTACCTCGATGACAGTAATATCCAGTTTTCTTATTTGGTATCTCTGAGTTACTCCACCCTCCATGACAGTAATATCCAGTTTTCTTAATTGTTATCTCTGAGTTACTCCACCCTCCATGACAATAATATCCAGATTTCTTAATTGTTATCTCTGAGTTACTCCACCCTCCATGACAGTAATATCCAGTTTTCTTAATTGTTATCTCTGAGTTACTCCACCCTCCATGACAATAATATCCAGATTTCTTAATTGTTATCTCTGAGTTACTCCACCCTTCATGACAATAATATCCAGTTTTCTTAATTGTTATCTCTGAGTTACTCCACCCTCCATGACAATAATATCCAGATTTCTTAATTGTTATCTCTGAGTTACTCCACCCTCCATGACAATAATATCCAGATTTCTTAATTGTTATCTCTGAGTTACTCCACCCTCCATGACAAAAACATAGTTTTCTTAATTGTTATCTCTGAGTTACTCCACCCTTCATGACAATAATATCCAGATTTATTAATTGTTATCTCTGAGTTACTCCACCCTTCCTGACAATAATATCCAGATTTCTTCATTGTTATCTCTGAGTTACTCCACCCTTCATGACAATAATATCCAGATTTCTTCATTGTTATCTCTGAGTTACTCCACCCTTCCTGACAATAATATCCAGATTTCTTAATTGTTATCTCTGAGTTACTCCACCCTCCATGACAAAAACATAGTTTTCTTAATTGTTATCTCTGAGTTACTCCACCCTTCATGACAATAATATCCAGATTTCTTAATTGTTATCTCTGAGTTACTCCACCCTTCCTGACAATAATATCCAGATTTCAATAATATAAACTCATCTTCAACTTAGAACAATAACGTGTTGTTATCTCAATGGTTATCATGTCTAAATATATAATCTCAATATATAATCAAAGACAATATATAAATGTTTGTTCTCTAATGATGCTTTATCTAAGATCATTTGCCTGGGCACACTTCCATGTTTGTGCATGTATCTGTGTGCCGTAGATTTCTAGGTTGTTTTCTAGATTATGTTTATATCGGGCCATCTGGCAGTTTCATTGAACATTCTTCTGTAGAACAAGTTTTGGTTGTCTCTGTTTGCAGGAACTTGACATATTTTCTCATCTTATGATTTCAGACTCTTGATGAAAAAGAGAAGCTGCACTGTAAACTGCTGGAGTCCTACCAGCAGAAGATCTGCAAGTCCAACGAGCAGATCAAGGCTCTGGAGAATGCACTGATCATGTGCCGTAATGAGGTCAAGATGCACTTGGACACCATGGAGAAGATCAAGAACCACTTTGAGTGTGAGATTATGAAGCGGGACTCTTGTGTATGTATGTCTGTGTGCGTCAATGATATTTCTGTGTTTTTATATTCATTTGTTATCGTGATTATTGTCACTAATTCCCAGTTTGTGCTTCAGAAGGTTCACAAGGGATGGTAATGACTCTGATGGCTTTAGATTGGATGACCAAACATAGTGTTGCTGTTGTATCTAGAAGCTTCACAGGTGTGGAGATTTTTATGGATATAATGTCTATTTATGGGGTTCACCCAGCATCTAGGAAATGGGTACCAGAGTTGACACTCTAGGGTGAATGGAGGAACGTCACTGTAGCTACGGACTTATGTGTGGATGGCGAAACAGGCGGACAGTTTCTTAACAGTTGTCCGTACTGGTGGCAGAGCACTTATGGTTTATAACTGTGTGCAATGACGCTGGTTCACATCTCCTGTCTTTAACTTTTTTTTTCAACATTTATTGCCTATTTAATAGCAAACTACAGAACAAATCCATAACTGGTGACTGCACACAATATGAGGAATTACATCATATGATAGAATAACTAATGTCAAGGTTTGGGAAAGAACTGAGAAACTCCTGTGAATCCAGAGGTGAGGAAAAGATGTTGGCATTGGATTAGAAACACATTCACTTGATAACAATATAACTAGCTTATCTTTTTACTGGAATCCACAGGGTCAAACAGACAGACCAAGAAAAGACATAGAGAAGGGAATAAGAGAGAGTGAAGTAAAAAGAATGGGTAGGGCACAGAGTGGGTTACATGTGATAGCAAAAGATAGAACAAATTGGACTGAGTTAGTGGAAAGCCTGTGCTTTGGCTGTAATGAAAGCACTTATGGCTTATAAACGAGTTTATTCCAATAAGAAAAATACATTTTACTGACATTGGTGATGGCAAAATATTGTCCCATTGTTACTTACTCAGTCACTCACAATTTAGGCTGGCTTGGTGTGAAAGCCAAGGCATGTGAATAAATTAACTCTACCCTGAAAGGTCATCTTCACTTCCTTGTAATTCCCAAATTCATCTCACCTCTCCACTTAGTCTCTGTGCTGATAGGCTGTATTTTCAGTGTTTGATAAGTTTTTCATATTCTCATTTTTTTGTCTCTTTATTTTTAATATTCACTGAAAAACATGAGAAACATTTATATTGTCTTTTGTGTACGTGTGTCCCTGGCATTTATGTATCTGACTGCTAGTTGATCTGTGTCCTGGTGACCATCTGCCTTCCTGATTGCAATAGATCAAACACCTGAAGGAAGAGCTGCGCAAGTGCAGTGAGGATCTCAAGTGCCGTGTCCAGGAGAACTGTAGCCTGGAGCAGACCAACGCTGAACTGCACAACAAGCTCAGCAATGCCTACGCTCAGCTCAAGGCCTGCGAGCAGAACGCCTGTTGTCTCTCTGACAAGGTCAGACTTGATTTGACTGTGGTTGTATTAGTCTGTCAGCATGTTCTGTGTTGCTCCGCTTGACTTGTCCATTTACCTTTTTGAAGTAAATCCTATAGTTTACTTCTCACCTTCTCCCATTCACATTTTTTTTTTGTAAAGTTCATTTGTCCTTGATTATTGTGTTTCCTAAGTGAATCAGTCATCAGCAGGAATGTTGCTGTCTTCATAGCCTGCTTAGAAGTTTCTCTGTCTAGCCAGTTCCCCAGTCCTGTGTGCTTTCATAGTATATCTATATCTTGTATCCACTGCCTTCACTTCCCTTCTTTCCTTGGCTCTTATCCTTTCTTTCCTCTGTTATTTCTTCCTTTCTTGTCCCCCATACCTTCCTTGTCTCCTTGTGCAGCTAGCTCTCTTGGTGCATTATTTAATCCATTCTTACATCAAGTCCTCTGTTCCTCTCTTGCTGCCTGTCCTTCCTTCTCTCCAGCCAGATGTGGGGCTCTTTTGTTTCCCTCACCTTTTATCTTTCCCTTCTGACTTGCCTTCTTCCCTGTGTTATTAGTCTAAGTTTGCTCCTGCGTCCTCCCTGTCAATTGTTTACACCCTAACTAAACAGCAACACTTGCTGCCTGTGACTTATTGAAATGTGCACTGTGACATAAAACATTGACATGTGTGCTGTGACGTGAAACATTGAAATGTGTTTGACATGAAACCTGACATAAACATTGCACACTTGCATGTGCCTGTGACATTATTGAAATGTGCGTGAAACATTGAAATGTGTGTTGTGACATGAAACATTGACATGTGTGCTGTGACGTGAAACATTGAAATGTGTGTTGTGACATGAAACATTGACATGTGTGCTGTGACGTGAAACATTGACATGTGTGCTGTGACATGAAACATTGACATGTTTGCTGTGATGTGTGTTGACAGTTGAAGAACATGGAAAATATAATGCTCAAAGACAAGGCCTGCTACATGAAGGAGACAGAAGAGTTGGAGCGACGGCTGTCCGCAGGCACTTAACAACCTCCAGTGTTCACATGAGGAGATCAACAAACTCAAAGCTGCTGTTTCGTAAGTTCTACTTCTCTCACAGGGTCTGACCATTGTCTGTTTGTGACTGGGTGAGCTAGTGGGTGTTTAGTTGACTGTACTTGTTTGTGTTGGTAGGTCATCTCTTTGTCACTCTGGTACGTTGTCTGTGCAACTCTGATAATAGTCTCAGGGACCCCTCAATTAGTTGTAAAGTGATCAACAGACAGGCGTAATTTTTTTGTACCAGTTTAACACATAAATGACTGTTTGTCTTCAGTGAAAACCAGCTACCTTAGTGCATTTCGCTGTATGTTACCAGGGCCACCACGTAAAAACTAATAGCACAAAAGCCAACCAACCATGGACAAGTCTAAAGGAGTAATAAGTAATATCCAGACAGCCAAGATTGGGGTAGGCTTTTCCGTTAAAGGAATGATGGAGCAGAGCAGAGAAAGCCTCAAGATTGCCAACACACACCCCTGCTTTGACCTAGGAAATATAGTTAGTGCATGGGGTGAGCTGCAGCAGTGACCAAGGATAGGACGGCTTGGTGAGAATTAATTGAGAGCCTATGCTCCACTGGGGGATAAAGGGCAGGTGAAGACAAAGAAGACACACACATTTTCTACCAATACAAGGTGGGGGACACACAGCATTCTTGCCTGTACAAGGTGGGGACACACACTGCTCTACCAAAAAGATGGTGGGACATGCGATTATTAAAACAGTTAGCATGTTATGTTTGTAGGGAAAAATCTGGCATGATAGACTGCTTGCAAGGGGAGAAGAACAGCTTGTGCCGCGACCTGACCAAATGCAAGGAGGTGGCCTGTACCCTGCAGGACAAGCTCAACAAGATGGAGCGGGACAACCAGGAGCTGTGCCGACAGCTACAGCAGAAGATGGACTGCAGTAAGTTGTTTGTCTAGCACCAGTTGTAACCACACTTACCTTTAATGTGATATAGCAGAAGATGGACTGCAGTAAGTTGTTTCCCTAGCACCAGTTGTAACCACACTTACCTTTAATGTGATATTGCAGAATGTGGACTGCAGTAAGTTGTTTCTCTAGCACCAGTTGTAACCACACTTACCTTTAACGTGATTTAGCAGAATGTGGACTGCAGTAAGTTGTTTCTGTAGCAGTTGTAACCACACTTACCTTTAATGTGATATAGCAGAATGTGGACTGCAGTAAGTTGTTTCTGTAGCAGTTGTAACCACACTTACCTTTAATGTGATATAGCAGAATGTGGACTGCAGTAAGTTGTTTCTGTAGCAGTTGTAACCACACTTACCTTTAATGTGATATAGCAGAATTTAGACTACAGGAACTTCTTTCTGTCGTAAATATAATCTCACATACATCTGTGCGTGGTACTTCTCTGTGTTAGCAGGACAGAATTTTGAACAATAGCAGCCGAAATAGGATGACTGTAACATCTTTCAGTGAATCTGTTGAGAGACAACAAAGTGGTCTCCCCCGTGTGGGTTCCGTGGCCCCATTGTGGGGAAAACAAGAATAGACCCACTGCCTCCCCAAAAGCATGTTGTAAGAGTCGGCTAACTGGGAAGCTTCCTTTGAAGTCGGAGTGCATCTGCCTGAGAGGCAAGGAACCATCAGTCTACATTCAATTGAATCAGATTTGTAAAACTGATGCACATGCAACACTCAGGTTCTGGAGCAGGACTGCAGTCCAGAAGTGGACGAACAACTAGAACTTTACGCCAGAGTGTACAGCTGGTGAATGCGAAGAAGAAGAACAAAGTGGTCTGAACATTTCATGAGGAAGAAACCTGGTCAAAAGAAGATCTTCTGGGGAAAGAGTTAGGGTAAACACCAGAAAACAGTGGGTAGACAGTAACTTGAGCACACTAAACAGTCATGGACACAGTGTTACTACAGAAACACATGTAGCTTTGAAACCACACGCTGAAACACCTTTCACTCTCACACTTACTAGTGATTGTGGGTTAGGACAACAGAAACGGTCTTAACCAGTGGTCTCTTAACTTTTTTGTTTGTTAGGTGCCCCCCCCCTTCCCCCTCCCCCCCTCCCCACCCAATCAACAAAATATGATTAAAAGAGGAGGACAAAAAGTAAAATTGCAAGAACCCTTAACAAGAACATGGAGAAAAACATACACATAATTCACAGTGTCAGATAACAAGAGAAACATTCACCAATAACTGGTAGTTTAGTATCAAGATATCAAATGATATTTGACACAGTTTTGTCTTGATGATATCTGCTAGTTTTGGTCTGATGTTGGACAAGGCACATCAGAGATCACTCTCCACATCAAGCAACCCTGTTGTTTTCATGACGGTTGAACCTGAACATCCAGATTGTTACAAGTACAAATGAAGTCAGTTTCAAAATTGCTTGACATCCTACTTGGAACTTATTGTTTTGTTGCCGGCTCATGTGTTTCACTAGTTGATGACTTCACATTTTCTGTTTTCTTTCTAGTTCGAGATCTGGAGGTGGCCATTTGTGCCAAGGAACAGGAAGTGAAGTGTTGTCAGAGATGTGTCGAGGAACTCCAGGAGAAGATCAAACGATTGAACGCTGTAAGTTGTTCCCCCTGATAAGTACATTTGTAGACATGGTCGATTGGTGTTTGTGTTTATCTTTTGTGTTTTTCCTTGAGTTGTGTGAGTGTATCAGTTGGCGCCAATACACTTGTGAACATCTGCTTGGGGTTGCTCTGTGAGAAGGAACATCTTGTGCATTAAAAGTCTGTTCTGTGTCTGATTGGGCATCTGTTAGCTATATTTCTGGCTCAGTGTCAGTTCCTTTTTTTGGTGCTTGTGAATTATTAGGTTCTTGTCCATGTATGAGATTGTATGGGTATGTAAGGGTGTTCAAGGATGTGTGGATGTTTGTAAATGAATGGGTAACTATATGACAAGACGCTTGTGTATATATAGGTATTTGTGTATGTATGAGTGCGTGTATATACTGGTGTTCGGGGTTTGTATAAATGTCAGTGTAAATATGTATATGTCTTCAGGTGTGGGTATGTTTGGGTATGTATGAATGAGTCTGTTTGTGGATCTATGAATTTGGGTATATTTATGATTTCTTATTTAAGAATCGACATCATAGCACAGTGGGCATATCCATAGGTGCTCCATCTCCCGCAGCAAATGTAGGTTTGCATGAGAGTGTGAGTGGATGTGGATGCACTTATGGTGTGCTTGTGTATGTGAGTGCATTAAGAGAATTGTGCATGTGTGTATGAGTTTGATACATGCATTTTTACGCATAAATTTGGTTTTTGTAAGTGTCTGAATGAGCGTTAGTGCATGTATGAATTCATCTGAGGATTTATAAATGAGTGTGTGTATGTACATTTATGGATGTGCTGATGTGTGTGTGTGTGTGTAGGTATGGGCATATAAGAGTGTATGTGTACATGTATATTGAGAGCATGTATGATTGTGTATGCAAGAGGCTTGTATGCATTATTTCATTGTGTATAATTTATTAATAAAAAAAACATAACATGCATTATTGATAACATGTAATTTTTGTCTGAAAGATGAGTGCTTGGACGGGCCGTTTATAAGTCGGGCCTATGTGCCCAATTTATAACCCTTTGAAAATAAAGTGTGTTTATTCGTTTGTTCCACTCTTTACCAATGTTAGTGTATGTTTTATGTGGAAAAAAAAGTTTTGTCTTAGAAGAAGATTTTAGTATTAAAGGATCAGCGGCATTGCACTGGGTTTGATCCTGCCTGGTTTATTCTGTCTCCGAGTTATGGCAGAGTGAGTACCTCACAGGGAGGCAGGAAATGATCTTCCCTAAATAGGCTACTCATGAACTAGGTAATACCATCTGAAAATGAACCCTCAGTCTTCAGACCACGAAGCAAATGGTTTGACTGTTTCACCAATGAGACCCTGTGTCAAATACAAGAGTTTGATTGTTATGACTCCATGTCTGTTTACAGTGTGTATTGTTACACATCTCCCATTGAATGAAGGATGTTGTTTTATTGCTGTCTACATTGTGATGAAACACCACAAAGTATTTTCATTAACACATTGTTTTCTTGTTTCCTTTCATGATTGGTGTCCTAACACAGGAATTGGTAAGTATTGCTTGATTTAAGACATTTAGTTTGTTTCTGTATAATTGTTCATCCTTCTTGAGGAAGAGGTGGCTGAGTTTTTGTCACACTGATCCCACATGTGTGACCTGGATTCAGATCTATGGTCAGACAAAGATAACTAATTTAAAAAAAAAAAATCCTTAAAGACCATGAGGTGGCTTGCAAAGCCTCTCAGCTGGTCTCAGCATGCAAGCCGAGTCTTGGCCAGCCCTCACACATAACAGCTGGTCTCAGCATGCAAGCCAAGTCTTGACCAGCCCTTACACATAACAGCTGGTCTCAGCATGCAAGCCGAGTCTTGACCAGCCCTTACACATAACAGCTGGTCTCAGCATGCAAGCCGAGTCTTGGCCAGCCCTCACACATAACAGCTGGTCTCAGCATGCAAGCCAAGTCTTGACCAGCCCTTACACATAACAGCTGGTCTCAGCATGCAAGCCAAGTCTTGACCAGCCCTTACACATAACAGCTGGTCTCAGCATGCAAGCAGAGTCTTGACCAGCCCTTACACATAACAGCTGGTCTCAGCATGCAAGCTGAGTCTTGGCCAGCCCTTACACATAACAGCTGGTCTCAGCATGCAAGCTGAGTCTTGGCCAGCCCTTACACATAACAGCTGGTCTCAGCATGCAAGCCGAGTCTTGGCCAGCCCTTACACATAACAGCTGGTCTCAGCATGCAAGCCTAGTCTTGGCCAGCCCTTACACATAACAGCTGGTCTCAGCATGCAAGCCGAGTCTTGGCCAGCCCTTACACATAACAGCTGGTCTCAGCATGCAAGCAGAGTCTTGGCCAGCCCTTACACATAACAGCTGGTCTCAGCATGCAAGCCAAGTCTTGGCCAGCCCTTACACATAACAGCTGGTCTCAGCATGCAAGCAGAGTCTTGGCCAACCCTTACACATAACAGCTGGTCTCAGCATGCAAGCAGAGTCTTGACCAGCCCTTACACATAACAGCTGGTCTCAGCATGCAAGCAGAGTCTTGGCCAGCCCTTACACATAACAGCTGGTCTCAGCATGCAAGCAGAGTCTTGGCCAGCCCTTACACATAACAGCTGGTCTCAGCATGCAAGCAGAGTCTTGACCAGCCCTTACACATAACAGCTGGTCTCAGCATGCAAGCCGAGTCTTGGCCAGCCCTTACACATAACAGCTGGTCTCAGCATGCAAGCCAAGTCTTGGTCTCAGCATGCCAGAGTCTTACACCTAACAACAGCTGGTCTCAGCATGCAAGCAGAGTCTTGGCCAGCCCTTACACATAACAGCTGGTCTCAGCATGCAAGCAGAGTCTTGACCAGCCCTTACACATAACAGCTGGTCTCAGCATGCAAGCCGAGTCTTGGCCAGCCCTTACACATAACAGCTGGTCTCAGCATGCAAGCCTAGTCTTGACCAGCCCTTACACATAACAGCTGGTCTCAGCATGCAAGCCCAGTCTTGGCCAGCCCTTACACATAACAGCTGGTCTCAGCATGCAAGCAGTCTTGAGTCTTGAGCCAGCCCTTTACACATAACAGCTGGTCTCAGCATGCAAGCAGAGTCTTGACCAGCCCTTACACATAACAGCTGGTCTCAGCATGCAAGCCAAGTCTTGGCCAGCCCTTACACATAACAGCTGGTCTCAGCATGCAAGCAGAGTCTTGGCCAGCCCTTACACATAACAGCTGGTCTCAGCATGCAAGCCTAGTCTCAGCTTGCAAGCCAGCCCTTACACACACATAACAGCTGGTCTCAGCATGCAAGCCCCATGCAAGCAGAGTCTTGGCCAGCCCTTACACATAACAGCTGGTCTCAGCATGCAAGCAGAGTCTTGGCCAGCCCTTACACATAACAGCTGGTCTCAGCATGCAAGCAGAGTCTTGCCAGCCCTTACACAACAGCTGGTCCAGCTTACAAGCAGAGTCTTGACCAGCCCTTACACATAACAGCTGGTCTCAGCATGCAAGCCAGAGTCTTGACCAGCCCTTACACATAACAGCTGGTCTCAGCATGCAAGCCGAGTCTTGACCAGCCCTTACACATAACAGCTGGTCTCAGCATGCAAGCCGAGTCTTGGCCAGCCCTTACACATAACAGCTGGTCTCAGCATGCAAGCAGAGTCTTGGCCAGCCCTTACACATAACAGCTGGTCTCAGCATGCAAGCCGAGTCTTGGCCAGCCCTTACACATAACAGCTGGTCTCAGCATGCAAGCAGAGTCTTGGCCAGCCCTTACACATAACAGCTGGTCTCAGCATGCATGAGTCTTGGCCAGCCCTTACACATAACAGCTGGTCTCAGCATGCAAGCAGCCCTGACCAGCCCTTACACATAACAGCTGGTCTCAGCATGCAAGCCCGAGTCTTGACCAGCCCTTACACATAACAGCTGGTCTCAGCATGCAAGCCCCTTACACGAGTCTTGACCAGCCCTTACACATAACAGCTGGTCTCAGCATGCAAGCCAAGTCTTGACCAGCCCTTACACATAAACAGCTGGTCTCAGCATGCAAGCAAGTCTTGACCAGCCCTTACACATAACAGCTGGTCTCAGCATGCAAGCCCAAGTCTTGACCAGCCCTTACACATAACAGCTGGTCTCAGCATGCAAGCCGAGTCTTGACCAGCCCTTACACATAACAGCTGGTCTCAGCATGCAAGCAGAGTCTTGACCAGCCCTTACACATAACAGCTGGTCTCAGCATGCAAGCTGAGTCTTGGCCAGCCCTTACACATAACAGCTGGTCTCAGCATGCAAGCTGAGTCTTGGCCAGCCCTTACACATAACAGCTGGTCTCAGCATGCAAGCCGAGTCTTGGCCAGCCCTTACACATAACAGCTGGTCTCAGCATGCAAGCCAAGTCTTGGCCAGCCCTTACACATAACAGCTGGTCATGCAAGCATGCAAGCCAGCCCTTGCACAGCCCTGGTACAGTCAGCATGCAAGAGAGTCTTGGCCAGCCCTTACACATACAGCTGGTCAGCAGAGTCTTGGCCAGCCCTTACACATAACAGCATGCAAGCAGAGTCTTGACCAGCCCTTACACATAACAGCTGGTCTCAGCATGCAAGCAGAGTCTTGGCCAGCCCTTACACATAACAACAGCTCAGTCTCAGCATGCAAGCCAAGCCCAGTCTGGTCCAGCATGCCTTAGTCTTGGCCAGCCCTTACACATAACAGCTGGTCTCAGCATGCAAGCAGAGTCTTGGCCAGCCCTTACACATAACAGCTGGTCTCAGCATGCAAGCAGAGTCTTGACCAGCCCTTACACATAACAGCTGGTCTCAGCATGCAAGCAGAGTCTTGACCAGCCCTTACACATAACAGCTGGTCTCAGCATGCAATGCAAGCCAAGTCTTGACCAGCCCTTACACATAACAGCTGGTCTCAGCATGCAAGCAGAGTCTTGGCCAGCCCCTTACACTAACAGCTGGTCTCAGCCAGCAGAGTCTTGGCCAGCCCTACACATAAC